AAAATAACCTTAAATTGTTGTACGGATTGCCACCATACACAGTTGGTGCCTATTTTCCTGTCATTTCCGCATATATTACCTAGAAAATAGGCACTTACCTACCTTTTAGTAAAAAAATGATCTGCCAGGGGGGACACCGCGAGCGCAAGCCGTGTTCGACTTCAGCGTTCTAGAACGACGTTCTTTCGAAATGTCCCCCCTGTGACGTAGGCAGTTTATGCGATCCGTGAAAGTCGAATGGGTCTATTTGGCCAGTCCCTTGAGTGACCACTATAGGCAGGTTTGACTGTATATTCAAGCATGTGTGCTATGGTGGTGTGGTGTGCTTCATTGCACTTTAAGAATAAGAGGTTGGCTGAGAAGTTGTTGGTGCTGTACACTGCAGTTGCAACTGAGTGCAGTGTCACAGATCTCTGAATGCCCAAACAATGACCTATTAAGTCGCACTTATTCCTTGACATTCTCTCCAAATTCAATGTCACAAAAAGGAGAAGGTGATTTTGAAGGGGAAGAAGGTTTCATAGTTATAACTTGAAGTACCTACTGGATTCCTATCTTCTGTTGCAGACATCTGTGAACCAAACCGGTGGAGAGACAACAGTAGGTCTGGATGAGACCAGGTTTAACCTGTATGTGTCCACCCTGGATGCCATGGTTCCCGCCTTGTTCGCTGCTGTGCTGCAGTCGGCACCCTTCGCACAGGACCAGAACCTGACATGCAGGGATGTAGAAGGTAAGTTCATCAGATCTGTATCTGTATAGCCAGTATAACCGCCCTTCGGTGTAACACACCAGCTTCACAGGCAGCTGCCTACATTACACTGAACGACTTCTTACACCTAACCTTTGAACATCTAACTCTAGGCACTGTTTAAGCTATCTAATGACAATGCCCCCACTGTACTTGGTGACAGTGAGTTCCACTGTGCAAAAGTTTTAGGAAAGAAAGAGTTTTTGGACACCTCAAACCTTGGTTGATAACTCTGGTACTTGAAAGCATGGCTATTCTGCTGCTGCATAGATATGCTGCTCATATCTATTCCTCGTAGTAGGTATCTTGCAGTTCTACAAGCTGTTCTTAAAAGATTTCAGTGAGAGGAAATTGTTTTCATGCAAAACATGGAAATTGCCTTCTAATCAGTATATCTCACTTTCCTTGGAGTTCTTAGACGACTTGTAACTCTCCTAGCAGGATAACAAAATGTTTTATCTTGTGAGCACTTTGGGCTTACCTACATGTACAGCCAAGTGATGTAAATCCGGCTTTACTCTATGTATGTCCTATGTTTCACCAGTGTCCAGGTTCCCCATGGGATCCTCCCCACTACACGACATCGCTACGATCATCGGTGACCACGCCCAGCTCGCAGCCCTTGTTACGGCGTACGATGACATGATAGAACAGGCCGACTTCCCCGAGTGGGAAACCTTACAGTGGGTGTCTGAGGAATTGTGAGTATTGGCGAACAATTATGCTTCACTTCTTTGTCATTTTTTGTATGCAAACCCAGAGAAACTACTTGTTCCAGTGCTAGTGACTTTTAGTAAACATTACAGCAAAGATAAGGAAATTGCATTAAAACATCATCGTGTACATCAAGGTAGGGTATTGGACCTAATGTTACCAGGCCTACTAAAAGTGGCACAAATATATTTAGAATCATTAGTTATCATGTCACAAGGACGTTTCTCAACTCAAAAGGAATAAAAAAAACAGCACCATTGCTTGTTGAACACTAGAGACAGAAGTGTACATGTAGATTGTTATTTTTGTCTCCAGTGTGCCCAGACTAGTGCAGCTGACAGGTAGCCTGGATGTGACTCTGACCTCCTGTATCCACAACCTGGCCAGACTGTTCCACAAAGTCTGCAGAACATTTGGGAGAACATTCACTGAGAGAAAGGTCAGGCTAAGTTTCCTTACCAGAATTCATCCTTAACCACAATTGATACAATACATGTATATGTAGTTGTTACCTTTAAAGAAAGTTGATGATAGATTTCCTTACATTCAAGTACTTTTGTCTCTTTTAATCAGTGTACCTATGATTTTTGTTGCTGTAAACCCTGTGAATTTTGGTAAGGTAAGAAGTTAGTTTTTTTGCTAAAACTGTCATTTTTATATTTCAGTTGAAACCACAATTCCAGACGATTTTAAAGATTCCAGAGGAGCAAATAGGTGTGTATTATTATCAATATTTATCATGCTTAGTTGACTTATATTACATGTGGTTGTTCTTAAGATCCAATACAGCTACATGTACTGTCTGGTAGTAATAAATAATTTGTCATGTTGTAATATGTTGTTTTTATGCCATTTTTTACTAATTTTGGTGCATGTCCATGATAGATCGAGAGATTCTGTCAGGACGAACAGCTCTCACACGTGCCACGGTCCCGTTGTATGCAGCAGGGGTGCTGGCAGTCTTCCACCAGGTGGGCTAAATCATCGCCTCTTGCAATAAAGCATTGCTGAGCTTACTGAAAAGATTGTTAGAAGGTTCCAGAGGAGACTAGTCTGTATCTGTATCTGCATAGCCGGTATAACCAACCTTTGGTGTAACACACCAGCTTCGCAGCCATGCGGCGCGGCTGGCTACATTACACTGAACATCTTGTTATACCTAACCCTTGAACATCTAACTCTAAACATTGTTTAAAGCTATCTAATGACAATGCCCCTACTGTACTTTGTGACAGCGAGATCCACTCTGCAGTAGTTCTAGGAAAGAATGAATTTTTGAACACCTCAATCCTTGGTTGATAATTCTGGTACTTGAAGGTATGGCTATTTCACATCTTTTCACAATAGATTTCTCTCTGCAATGATGCCTGTTCTTTCCTACAGGAGTCAGACAGAAAGCAGCTGATCAAGTTCATGCAGGACATCCTGACGACCCTGTCCCTCTCCCACGCACCCCTGGACAGCATTCAGGCAGCATTCCTGGAACTGGGGTGAGTCACATCTCTGTTGGTAGAGATGAGTTGATAAAAGGCTTTTTGGATTGTCACTTCTGCATTAATGTGCTTCTCATGCAATCTGCATTCCACTCTGATAATATATTTCCCTAAAGTACCAGAATGTGCTGATATCTGTTGTCCTGTCCTTGGTGCTGATTTGTGTTCTCGTTGATGCTCATACCTTTATTCCTTAACAGAAAGATAGTCACACTAATACTATGCCTCCTGGTCCTGATGACTCCCTGTGCTGATACCTGTGGTCCTGTCCTTGGTGCTGAATTATATTCTCATTGATGCTCATAAACTTCTTTCTGTTGCAGACACTAATACTGTTGTTATTCCTCCTTGCCCTGATGATTATGTATGCTGACATCTGTCCTTGGTGCTGAATCATGCTCACACTACTTCTGCTTTACTTTCCCAAATGTTCAGCAATGTTTACACTAGTAATGCTTGTCTTCCTTAGGAGCATTCACAATTTAATGTTCCTCCTCTTTCTATTAACCTTAGCAACATTTACACTGCTATTTTACATTCCTGTCCTTGGTACTGAATGACATTCACACTGATCCTGAAGCCTCTCTTGTGGCTGCCTTATAACAGTTATATGCACATTTGTACCCATATTTTAACCTTCACAATTCTGATCTAAACAAATCAATTCTTTCATCATTTTGTCTTATATATACTATATGTAACTTTAAAATCATTATACAGTCTGCAGTCCCTTATACACAGTGCTTATGGCAGAGAATGATATTTTTGCACTGATGAATCTGAATGACATGTGAAGACTGTCTAATTCTGACTGGTGATTGTGCTGACGTCCTGCCTTACACCTGGTGATGTGCGTTAGTCACACAGGCAGTCTTTCCCTCAGGTCGGACGCGGCGTACCACGAGTCCCTGCTGACCGTACTGTGGGACGGTGTCGTCCACACCTCCGCGCTAGTCCGAGCATCTGCAGCCAGAATGTTTGAGGTACCTTGTCTATGACTCATTCTTATCACAGTATCTTACTACTGGGAAGGACCCAGTTAAAGACCATATGACCAAAAAAAGTCTGTAAAATACATTACTATATGCAAAAGTATACATACAATATAGTCACTTGAAGTTTGTTTCAATCATGTTGACTGAGAAATTGAGTCTGCACGGGCATCCAAAAGCCAACTGCAATCAGGTAAGGTTGTATTTTGGTGTCATGAGTACTTATCTGTATAGAATGTGATATATAGCACGTGATCACAATGATTCTGACCATTAGAGTATTGACATGTATATGTATGGGAGACCAGAAAAATATCCTACTTCTAGTTCTTTGACATTGAGTGCTGAGTTTAAGATACTATAATTCTAGTCATTACCCTAATTCAGCCAGTTTTAGATGGTGCAGCATAGTAACTGCATTTCCTCTCAGAGTCACTAGGTGGCATACAATTGCTAAATACTTTTATTGAAGGGAGAGTTACATGTTTTCCTGGATGTGTTTCACCCCTAGATGCTGATTAAGGGTGTACAGGAGACCCTGGTTTCCATGAGAGTGGTGCCTGCCCTCATTACACTGTCTACAGACCCTGAAATGTAAGGCACTATTCAACTGAAATATTCTATTTGTTGTAAGGTTTACATGTACATGTACTAGTAATTGTAGACTGTGAATCTACCCATTTTCTACCTGTTGTTATCCCAAGTTTCAAAGTTAATCCATGTTAGAAACTACTTGGCTATCTCTTCTGCTTGGCTTGCTCCATCTTTCACATTTGTTCATTTCTGAACAGATTTTTGAACTCCTTTTGATCCTCTGTTTAAAATAATGGAGAGGCATTAATCAAGAATTGGGATTCACAGGTTTCTAATGAGTTGTGATGTCTCATCAGGTGGTCTGAGTATCGATTCCCCCCCCCCCAGGTCTGTCCGTATAGCGACGATCCCTGCCTTCGGAACCATCATGGAGAGCATCACACAGAAGGAGACCCTGGACCGTGTCCACATGCAGTTCCAGCAGTTCCTGGACGACCCACAGTACCGCGAGCAGCACACGCTTCATGTGGAGATCATCAGGACATTCGCCCGCATCGGGCCCAACGCTGAACCAAAGTTCAGGGATGAATGTAAGACAGTAAGCAATAGTGAACAATACAGGTGACAGAAGGACTGTTTTGTGGACAGGATGAGGTGCACTAAGCTACCAATTTGGTCTGTGCTCTTTTCATATATGGACAGTACAAATGGATGTTCCTGAAGCATATACAACTAGAAAGGTAACATTTGCAACGGAAATGCATAACACATTTCATATATATGGCGACAGCAGTCTAAATCCCTCCTGCTATGAAATTGCAACATGATGTAACCCACCACTAGGTACCATCACAACAGACATAACATATTGGTTCAGGTCAGAGGTCACTCTTTGGAGAAGAAGAAGAAGAAACTGACCAAAAACAATATGTTTTCCTTCTGTCTATTCTAATTTTACAGACACCATTTTATGTATTGTTATGTGTACATGGCAATGGGACCAAGAATCCCACACTGTGTGCAAAACTAGGGGATGTCTATAGATGTGACTGGTGTAGTCTGTGTGCCGCGACATGAGGAATTTCTGTCTGTCTCCCTGTGTCTGCAGTTGTGTTACCACGTCTGGCCATCATGGCAGGGAACAACAACCTGATGATTAATGAGACCAAGAGAACAGACATCGCCATGCAGCTGTTCGAGGCCTTCACTGCCATGTCCTGTTGTTGTATCCTTGTCAAATCAAGTCATTGTGTAGGGAAAAAACTGAGAACATGTATGTTAGAATTGATAGTTTCCCACAAGTGGTTTATGTTGCTGGAGAAATTTAAGAATTGAAGCATTGTGGTGATGGAGCTATTGTCTCATAACAGATATTATGAGTATAATTCATTGTGCAAAAAAACAACATTTTTCCTTCTGCTTGATGCATGTATAATGACATTATTTTCTGAAATTTGGTGTTAACATTACATGTAGCTGCTGTACACCTTTGCATTCTTGATTAGCTTTCAGTAGCTCTAGTTGCTGTTCTGGGCTTTTTTTACCAATAAAATACATGTTACAGTAGATGAAGTCCTTTAAGGACTTCTGTCATCTAAGAGCTTAACACTAAACAGAGTCTTGTGAAGTTCTCCATGACTTTTCATGTTGTCTGGGATTGTCGCAGATGTTTCCTTGACCTGCTCCACAGTTATCTCTGATGACCTGATTAACCAGTGCATGCTGCCTGGCCTGAGGTGTCTGAGACAGGACATGGAGCACATCGCACCTCAGCACCAAGTAGGGCTCTTCATTTGTGTGGGGCTGGCTTGGGATGAATGTCAATCAGTCAGACTTTTCAGATCTTTGGGGAATATGATGTTTGATCTGGGTTTTTTTTAAATGTCTCTAGTTCTTGTCAAAGCCTAGCTCCAAAAGTGTAACATGATTTGGACTGTTTATCTGGAATCTACATGTATAGAAAAAAAGAAAGAAAAAAAAAACAATCCCTACCTACTGACTTTTGACTGACTAGTATAAGGCCTAGAAAAAAATGTGTTTCCGATTGTGGTCCTAAAAAAATTCAGTAGTCAGTGACTATGTACTAATTTTTTTAAAGGATCGTAATAGGAAACACATTTTTTCTAGGCCCTATTGTGGAGTATGCATTTCTTCCCCAGCTAACCTGAGGTATATCTTCTTTACTCCAGGAGGTGGTTGCCTCCATGATTAAGGAGTATGAGATGAAGGTGGACAGTAAGGTGCCGTACGACAGCGGCGTCCCGGTGGGCGCCAGTCTCGGGAACCTGGCAGCCGCCATGTCCAGCGAAGACGCCAAGACAAAACTGCTCAGCAAGCTGGGACAACTCAAAGACAAGTCCTCAGTACAGGGTACCAAGATAGCTAGCATGTTCCACAGGAAGAAGTGAGATGAGATTTTCTTCTTCAGCTTCATACAACTCTGATAGTATATAGGCTTCAAATACATTTAGTTATCACTGTAGCCACTTAGTACTTAATAATATGTTTCTTAGGCTTATCAAATGCACAATTTTGAAGTTTCCTTCAAAGAGCTAACATTGTGTAAGTTGCCACAAAGCCTTTTTTTTGCAAACTGAAATTGACTTCCCCACCCCACCTACACTGGTAATGCAAAAACAACTAACATTCCTTGAATGATGCTGTATAATATGTGGATCTAATATCATACATAAAACTGTCATGTTTCAGGTTTGCTTTGCTTTGCTTTGAGATTTTTGTCTTGTACAGGAGGCAGTTGAAAGATAATCTAAAAGTTGTCAAATTTGAATAACTGTCATGAATGTTGTCAGAGACTGTGTTGCTGAGGTACGTACAAAACAGGTTGAGAAACAAAACGTATTCTAACATAACACTGTAATATAAGCCTGTAGAGTTAGCCAGAATGAATGTCCTAACTCCTTCAAATGTATCTTATTCCTATATTCCTGTTGTGATCATTCTAGGTGCTAGTCAGTGTTTAGAGAGCTCTTTGAGCAAAACAGTTGTGATGCCATTCCAACATTTGTATCACAAAGAAAGAAATATCAGGGAAAATTCATGTAATTTAAGAAGTAGGGCTGACAATGTATTATTGATAAGACTACACAGCAAGACATACACTATGTAAATATCATAGTGTAGAACATGTCACATATTCCAATCTGGTTGTATTGCAAGGTTTTGTGTTCTATTGGTTAAACATTTCACTAAAAGCCGATCAATTTCTAATTAATTTTTCAAGGTGACCAGATGTTAATTGTAGATGAAATATTTTTTATTTGTCTGACTGCTTCTATTGTTGGTCTTGATTTGTCCATGATGTTGGTTGGGCCCCTTTAAGACACTTTGTTTCTAAGTTATGTACAGAAACTTATGTACAGATTTTTGACATGACCACAGCTGCGACACAAGCAATAAACCTGACATTCACAAGACATGCTATTATGTTATTGGGCCCATGTTCTGTACATTAAATAATGTGATAGCTAAAATATTGAGGGGGAAAAGCCCTTAGAGAAGTTAGGTAAAGGCTAGCCAAGTATCAGTTTTGTGGGAATTTTCACTAGGGAAGAAGTCAGCCATATGTATATAAATGTGTTGTATTGTGATCTACATGTATCCAGCTAAGAAAAGCCACATATGTAATAATCCACAAACATATCCAAAAATGCTTACTTTGGTAGTTCATAGCAGTCAAGACTAACAGGTTTAAGTCACTTCTTTTGTTTTTGAAATTTGGCAGTTTTTGATAGATAGTTTATATTCAGCAGCAATACAAACCTTAGTGTTCCATCTTTGTAGTTTATCAAGTGCAACTTTTTTAACAGTCACTCTTTAACATTCTTTGACCATATAACCCCTAAAACTAACATAACAATTCACTTGTACTAAGTCAATGATATTATAGTATGTTTGTACATATACATGTACATGTAAGCCTCTTAACATTATTTTGAATATCTTGTGTACAGCAATAGTAACTGCTAAGATTGTGATATAGTTCAACGCTGGATAAAGGAAGTTGTTTATTGTCACAAGTGTTGTTGGAAACGCTGAGATGTGTGGAAGACTGTGCAGGTTTGTTGTGGATGTGTCTGCCTGCCAAGGTGTTAATAGATGTGAGATTCTTGTGACTGGTCCGTTGTTGAGAAAGACGTGTGGTGTTAAAGGCAGATTCATTGCCTTGTTACAAACTAAGGCCACACCAATTTAATTTGTTGTTTCTCATATTTTTTCAGAAAAAATCAGGAGTGACAGGGCGAAAAAAACAGAAATCAGGCCAAGGCACCCCATGATAGCCGGAAATGTTACAATATGAGCCATGAAGTGAACATATCAGGCTGGTTTATAATCAAAACAATAGCTTCTGAACTTTTAATGAAACAAGATTGCATTGTTACATTGAAAAATTTAAGAACTAGGAAGAAAAGGACTTTTTCAACCGTTGGGGCCAAGGTATGTCTTTCATGCAGTTAATTTAGAACAAAAAAATTTGTGCAAATCAGAAAAAAAATGGACAGGGCGATCCAAGAATCAACAAATTAAATTGGTGTAGCCTAACAAGTTCAACAGAAGTGGTCTGGAAACAACAACAACAACAACATATAGGAAAGAAGTAATGCTGCAAAAGGCTCCACTGGCCACTGTAGACAGTTTTTCTTGTGATGAAGGTTCTTGCAACATTGTAGACATAGTCAAATTTGGAAAATGTCAATTGGTGATGACAGTGATCCATAGGAAATGATTTAATGTACACATGGATAACATTCCTTGTGATGTGGTTGCAATAATCTAAATTATCGAATCAGCAAATCAAAAGACATTCAGAAGCTTCTTCATGAATATACAAGACGTAATTTAAGTTAAGAAAGAAGCAGTTTTGTTTCAATGATTTCAAGAAGTGGAATATGATATGTCATATGTTACAATTGTCTATGTGCAATTTAATTGAGAAGCTTATTTTATTCCAGCCATCTTACATTTATGTATTCAAATTTGTGTTCATAAGTATAGATATAATGTATACAATCAAGAATTTTGTAAATTGGTTATACTACAAAGAAATTGTAATTAATTTTATTCGATATCAATGAATCATTAAACTAGACTTTCCTATGTGATAATTGTTATTCTTTTTCAACTATGGACTGTTACTGTCATACTCACCACCACTACTACTACTTAGTATGTATTATCACAGTTATCAAATATAATTTTATTTGGTTGTCAGAGAAGATGAGGGTACTTCCATGACCAAACCATGCTCTAACCATGACAGGAGGAGGCCGATGAATGGTATGCTTACACATTTTGTACTTAGCCCACAGCAAGTAAATTCTATGGATAATATCCTCCTCAGACTCCAAATCTATTGCGATAGGGCGAAAAAAAAAACAAGGTGGGCAAAAAAGCCAAGATTCCTAAATTTTCAAATTTTGACATAAACCCTTGTAAAACAAAAAATGATACGTATGTTGTACTAGGTTTACTGTCAGCTATTACAACATCCATTTTTCACTGAAACAACTTTGAAAAATAAAAGTTTTCAATCATTGCACAAATGGTTTTGATTCAGTGGGAACATCACATATACACAGCCACCATCACATATAAAAGGAATGAAATACATCACTGCATCAATTAAAACATCAAATCAGAGCCTTGTCTTGTCTCGGCTCCTCCATATTTATCTGCCATCAACGTTCCGGCATGGCAACAGATATCTTTGCCCATTTTCGACATGTTGACCACTGTCAGAGGGCAACAAAATTTCTTTTTTTTTTTCAAAAGCAGGCGAAAATTAATGCGCGCGCTGATGTCATCCATAAAAATTACTTGCTGTGGCCTAAATGCTACGGACAGTATCTGACCGATAATATTATGCAAATTATGGCGGGACATTATGTAAACTCAGATAACCCATGTCTGAAAGTGCTGGTAAAGGTGACTGGGCTCACAAGCACCTGAGTTTGTATTCTAAGGGAAATGAAGCTTAATAATTAAACTCATATGTGTTGGCATCGCGAAGTTTGTGCGACAGAACAAACTGTCAAAGCAGTTTGAAAAGGCATTAACAGTTAGAGGTAGGAAGGGATGTGTACAGTGACCACTGGGTTAGGATTACAATGTTGTTATTTACCCGTACACCGGTTGGTCATGGTCACTTGAATAGAACTGTGACGCTCTTTTGTTTCTGAGTGTTTAAGCAAATGTTCATTCGGTCAAGTTTACCGATCGTCCGTTGCACCATGGAGTTAAAATTAACCGGCTCGGGTCAACGACCGAATGAACATGTTCACTCGGTCGTTGTACATGGGACGCACCAGGGACACACCGGTACTACACAGAACCGTACATCTGGTATTTATCATGGATTGAATTCTCATTGGCCTTTCCCGTGTCACATGGTCGTTTGCCAGATAACTTAAAATCAACTCTCCAGCAGTGCACCGCTGTACAAGTAACGCTAGTACCTGGCTAGTGCAACGGCCAAAGCGCTGTGAATTTCACTCACGTATTTTGGCAAGGTGACAAGTAGAGTTAACTTAAGTAAAGCGAAACATGGCAAAACTCGGCCTGATAACTTTTACCCTTGTGTTTGCCATTTCGTTGCATCTGGGGAGCGCGGACGTTTTTCCCCACCACGAGGCGCTGGACGAGGCAGGGAAGTACCACCTGTTCTGGAAGTTTGACGAGGAGAAGATTGAGTTGGAGGCGCAGGTCCAGACGACGGGATGGGTCGGGTTGGGTCTGTCTCCGAACGGAGGCATGGCGGGGTCTGACATCGTCATCGGCTGGGTTGCAGACGGGACGGCGCACCTGACGGTAAGACTGTCTGTTTTTTTCTTATATTATATTCCAACATGTAATCACAAGACGTGGTGACGGCACATTTAAGTTTTTTTTTTCATTTTTTTTATAAAGTTTTATTATTGCCGCCACCAACACAGGGGACAATACAATACTCATTTTCACCTGAGCGAAGTGAGGAAAGTTGTGTAAAGTGTCTTTCCCAAGGGCACAAGATCGATGGCATGTCAGGACTCGAACCCGGGACCTCTTGGTACCGAGCCAAGCACTCTGCCGCTATACGCCACACGAAGCCACCCACCCACCCACAGACTGCCTGTTTCAGTATGGCTATGAGAGTACCAGTCGTACTCCGTATGCAAGTTAAGCGCTATCATTTTCCGCTTTATTGGAACTAGCACTCATATCTTACGTAACTGTCTAACTGTTATGCTGTGTGTTCATACGTCTCCCGTCCAACACCTTTCGTGCTTATCGGAGAGATCACTTCCTTCTCTTTTCCCATTCGTAGCATAAAGGGTGGCAAAGCCATAGAACCAGGATACAAATTATATTGGAAAGTAGTATGGTTAGTATGGCTATGCCCTGCCAATGGTTCTCTGCCTTCAGACTATGAACCTCAATTGTCGCATTAATTTGTCGTTCGATTGTCGTATTATATATTATAAAGATCACGGCATGAGTTTACTCAGGGTAGCTGTGCATGTGTCGTGCAAAACTGACGAAAAAGGCTGTCGTAGATCCTTGTCAGCAGTTGGTTTTAATTTTGTCACAGCCTGCTTGAGAGTTCTACGTCAAAATACGAACGTGTCGGTACGTTAATAATCACGTATTAATGGCGTAACGCACGTGACGTCAAGAGCAACCTCTGGTCAATCATTCAACCCGATAACATTCTCCTGTGTAGAGCCGTATATAATTAAATAAGTTAGGTTTTATAATTTTCCAAGGGCTGATACAAAGTTTGAGTTATCATATTTAAAATCTTGCAGGATAGGTATGCAGACGGGAATGCACAGCCTATCGTGGACGAGAGTCAGGACTGGGAGCTGGTGTCTGGGTACGAGAACGGAACCCACACAGTCCTGAGGTTCAACCGGAAACTGACGACATGCGACACCAAGGATCGCGTCATCAACGTACGATTGAAAACATTCTCGCCATATGTATACCAGTTATCTGTTGTGTCCTTGGTTGTTTTTAAGACATGTCGTATTCAGGCAAATTGTTCCAGTCATTGGACGTCACTGTACAATGCAGATCCGCTACTAGAGTGTAATATGATTTAAGAAAAATGTACAATCGATGGAAACACTTCTTGAAAATGTTTGACCGACTGCCTTATACAATGACTAGCCTGACTGAACCTCGCTTTTCGCCGGCTCCCTAGTAGTCCGCCAACCAAAACTATGTAGGGAGCCCCCCGGAGCTTGGGTTTCACAGGCTATACAATGAAAGTCCCGTAACTTCTTCCCACAGGAAGACACCATGCGTGTGATCTGGGCCTGGCATGACGAGGATCCAAAGGAATCATCCGGTGCGAACGGTCCAAAGTACCACTCCTCCAACAGGGGCGTCCGGAGTACCATCCTCATCACCCAGCCCGTCCCACAGACCAGCCTACCGGACACAACATACACCTTCGATCTCACCATGAGAAACGTAATCTAACATTCTGTCTCTCTGTAGCTTTCAACAATTTTCTTATCTACTTTAGCAACGGCGAGTAATATAGCTCGTAGCGCTAACAAGTTCGACACACGTGTTGTTCATTGTTTATTTATCTTTAACTTTAAATCTATTTATCTTTAACTTTATTTATCTTTAACTTAAGTTATCTTACATGTAGCGGTATCTTACATGTACATGTACCTGTCCAGGTATCCATCCCCGGCGACTCTCACACGACCTACTGGTGCAAGCTTTTCAAACTACCTACGTTGAGCACAAAACACCATATCATAAAGGCAAGTATTTCATGACTTTACATTACCGTGCGTGACCTCGTACAATCAAATGGCATCAGTTTCAAAAACGTAACAGAACTAATAATATTTATTCACAAAACGTTACAGAATAAACGTTTGATCAGAATAGGTGATAAGGATTTTGAACTATTAACCTAAATGGCTGATTGTTGTTACCGCCTGTTGATGTAGATGGAGCCGCACATCACGCCTGGGAATGACGGACTAGTTCATCACCTTCTGGCTTACAAGTGCCGGAGGAACCCTGACACCATCGTGCCGGACGATCACCAGGGACACAACTGTTACACCCGCAACATGCCGCAAGACTGGCGGGAATGTTACGAAGGGTCTCTCATTGCCGCGTGGGCCATCGGGTCAGGGGTAGGCTATCCTGTCGTGGACCTCAAGATACGAAATGAATATTTTGAGTTTTTTGCATTGCCATAGTAGTGATGCTATTGTTTACGCGACTGTCCATCAATGCTCAGTCAAAGATATACATCGTAATGTTGTGACAACTATCTTGTTTTCTGCAAGTTTCTCTTTGACGGGAAATTTTGATTGATGTTCTAAGATATGATTATATTCACCGCCAACTTCAGGATCCTGGAAATCATTTGATTACAGGCGAATCATCTTTCAAATTGACATAACACAACCGTTAAACTTGAAGTATTATCCGGGTAATGATGACAACATTTACATCTGTTTTTCAGGACATTACGTACCCGGAGCATGTTGGGTACCCTATCGGGGACGAAGAGGACAGCGGTTATGTGCTTCTGGAAATGCACTACGATAACCCGCAGGTGCTTTCAGGTCAGTCATTCATTGGTTGTATGATTAGTCTACTCTGCAAGCAGAGGTTGTGGGGGTGATCGTTACCTTTTTGTATATGGCCGGTTTTTTTGTCGCTCCAAACAGAGGTTCTTCTTCTTCTTCTTTGATATAGGCAGCCAACATCGTCTTGCCGATGAATCTGCTGCACTGGATAGGTCAGGAAGTAGACTGCAGTTGTTGGTGTTGGTTTAAGGTGTTTGGTTTGAAGGTTGTGGGGGAATGATCGTTACCTTTTTATATATGGCCGTTTTTTTTGTTGGTACCCCGTCGGTGGCCGCGGACCTTCTCTGGCTAATGGATACTGCCTGGCCAATTTGACACTGTCTTTTTGCCACCGATAGGGATCTGCTTGGAGATTAAGATTACTCTTTATCCAAACACTCCTTTCTTTGTCAACCAATTGTAAGTCATTTTACAGTCCCTCGACCTGTTCTTGGTAATGCGATCTACATTAGTCTTCATTTCAGAAGCTTCTTGGGGACTTTTGCAGGTAAGACTTAATAGACTTGTACTTTTTGTCATCACAGGCTTGTACGACAGCTCGGGCCTAAAAATGACCTACACCCCAGAACTGAGGGAGAATGACATCGGGATCCTTGAGGTGGGCCATAGGGTGGGGAAATTCCATGTCGTCCCACCTGGTGCAGACATCTTCACATCAGCCGCATTCTGTCATCCGCAGTGTCTCAGCCCGGTTAGTAAATGTTCTACAACCACGTACTGTATCTGTATCTGTATCAGTATAGCCGGTATAACCGCTATATTCGGCGTAACACACCAGCTTCGCAGGCACGCGGCGCGGCGGCAGCTAGCTATATCACACCGAACGACTTGTTACACTCAATCTTTGCAGGAGTTGTTTAAAGCTTTCTAGTGATGATGCCCCAGCTGTGCTTGGTGGCAACGAGTTCCAGTCTACCATAGTTCTTGAGTTTTTGAACACCTCAATTCTTGGTTGATAACTCTGATATCTGATTAAGTATATTTCTTAATGTATAGAACTATTATTGCTATGACTAGTTTCCTACTAAAAGTGACTGGATTTCCCCTCGCAGTTTCTTGAGGAGCTCGGACAGCCTATCAAGATATTCGCCAACGTTCTCCACGCGCATCTTCTGGGTGTTCAGCTGAACTTGAGGCTGATCCGTGATGGAGTCGAGAAGCACATCTCGGGAGATGACAACTACGACTTCAACCTGCAGTTCCTCAGGAACCTGAAGGAGGAGATCGCCATCTACCCGGTAGATTACGTTTAGATAATTCTCAATCTACGGTTTCATTCATTCATTCTTTATTTCAGGTAAATATAGAATACAACACGGGGTATTCCGTATCACCCGAGGTACCAGCCCGACCGCGCGTCGGATCGCCCGACGGCCGCAGGCCGGAGGGAGATCCGATCCGCGGAAGGGCTGGGACCGAGGGTGATGCGGAATACACCGTGTTGTATTTTATTTATGTCATACCCATCCAAGAAAACGCGCCTTTCAATGCGAAATGAGCGAAAATTTGGTGTCCCTAAACCCAAAAAATGCGACAACATCAATTCCAACGTCCGAATTTTGTATTCGAATTTCGAAAGCGGCGCAAGCGGTTAGGCCGAAACGCGTTCGAATCGTTCCACCGAACATTTGGAAGGGCCGGGCCGTACGCGTTTAGAACCCCCGGGCCGTACCGCTAGTTATCACACGGGCCGGAACACCTGTATCGAACGTAATCGCGGCCCAGGTAGGACATAAAAACCCATATAACACATGTACAGTACATCATTAAAATAATACAAAAACTCTACAGACATACAAATAAAACAGGAAGAAATCTAGAAGCATAATAAATTGTAGGTCTTCCGGAAGTATGAATTCCTGTAAAAGGCATCGGAACTTACTAAGCGACTGATTGTTGCGTTGTTGGAGGAAAATAATCTTTTTAGAAAAGAATAACAAATCCTCCTTCGCCTGGTTTCAAATGTGTCAATATAGTGATAGACAAACATTTCACTCGCGCTGCATCGCCGAGGTAAATTCATAATAATTCTAAAACAATTGTTATAAGCAAGATCGGCACTTAGACAGAACACCTGAGCTAACAGAGCTCCATAACTGAGCGGCATATAGCTGGGCGCAATGCGTCATAAACAGCATCAACAGCTAACAAGTGACTCTTGAAAAGTCATTTACTGAAATGGTTAAACTGGTCGATGTTTCTTCTTTGAATTTTGCAGGGAGACTCTCTGGTGGTAGAATGCAACTATCGTTCCACTCACAAAGACAACGTTGTTTATGTAAGTCTGGTATCTACTTCTCTTCCTTTCGCTTTTGTACTTACGTATACTTTGTCATCAAACAAATCTCCGTTTCAGCTTTTTTTAAAAATTAATTCCAACATTAATTCCAACACCAGACGTGGTGACGGCACGCTCAAGTTTTTTTCAACTTATATTAATGCCGCCACCAACACGGGGCAAATACATGACAGGACAATACTCATTTTCACTTGAGTGAAGTGAAGAAAGTCGTGTAAAGTGCCTTCTCCAAGGGCACACTGAGATCGGTGGCATGTCAGCACTCGAACCCGGGACCTCTAGGTTCCGAGTCGCGCACTCTGCCGCTACGCCACATGACCCCACGTTTCAGCCTTTAAAGCGTAGTTCTACACAACTATCCACACAACGTTAACACTGGGTAAAGTTTCCATCTGAGCGTTTTTGGATGTCAGTTATTCGGTCCAACGTGATTCTGTATAGCAGCACTGTTATATACCAGGACATTCATACTGTGTTTTCACATTTTCGGCATCACACTGACAGGGTGGTATAGGCACCCCTCAGGAGATGTGTTTGGACTACTTGTTTTACTATCCGAGATTCAACCTAGACAGCTGTCACACCAGACCCGTTACCAGCAGAATCCTCAGCTTTGTAGGAGTGGAAGATTTTATCCCGTAAGTCTTCTTCTCAGTCTTCTTCTGACGGCTTCTACCTATTCTAAAGTTACCAAACTTTCTAATAAGGCCATGTTGATTTGATTATATGGATGACATCCGCGCGCGCATGAATTTTCGGCCGTTTCCCAAAAAAGTTTCCAACCACACTGTAAATTGTACAAAATGAGCAAATATATACCGAAAGTTGCTAAAAAATATTTGAAAACGATTCCAACGTCGTAGAATGCCAAAATCAAACAAAAAACTAAAATGCAAAGAAATGAATTTAAAGAGTAGATTATTCGCCATACCATACTATGTGTCATTTGTTCGACCTTCATAAACACGTACATGTAGATTTCATGAAAGCAACTTTTTTTTGCAAAACTTTTTTTTATTCGCGCGCTCGCATCAGTTTTTGGGTTCCCAGAGGATGTCATCCATATAATCAAATCAACATGGCCTAAATAGAAAAGCAAACCTTTACTAACTATAATCATGTATGGCCTGTTCTGCTCTTGCAGTAAACCTTTCCAAATCCTGGCCCCGCCCAATTTGGTGAACAAGACGTATGAGGAAGTGGTGGAGGGGTTCCAGTGGACATCTGAGAATGCTGGACAGTTCTCCAATCACCTTATGGACGGAAACTTCATCACGGCCTGTTTGGGCAACGGCACGAGGGCACCCGTAAGTATAGGGTACTGACTAAAATGCATAATGGTTGGGTGTATTATTAGGGCTATTAATTGAATTCTTTTAAGACAACGGTCAGGGCACACGGTTGTTTCTTCGCTATTTGGACGCTATTTGTGACGCTATTTGGTTTTTGGGCGTTTGAGCTTATTTTCATTCAGTCATGTTTACCGATCGTCTGTTGCACCAGGGACGCACCACATAGAATCATACAAATTACATGTATATGATGTTTTCATATTCGTTCTGCATGCTATGCTACTTCTCGTTGCCTCCAATGTTATTTTACCTCCATTTTACGGCGAATATACATGAGCTAGAACATCATTTGAAAATACCTTCCCCCTTCTTCCTGTTGGACTACAGATCCAATCGCCCTTCCCCCGCGGGACGAGGGTCCCTCCCCCTGACACCTGTGGCGACCGGACCTCCTCTAGCGCCTGCCAACTGCCGCTCACTGCACTTCACATCTGGGCCGCTGTCTTCCTGGCGCTGTCGTGCAAAGTTTTGCTCAACTCGTAAAGATGCTGTTCACCCCGTTTGAGTAGCAATATTCAGGAGAGCTTTTTCTATTCTGCAAACACATGCCTTAGAATTGCAGATCAAGTAACGCACTGTAAGTAGTAGGACTTAATTCTCATCTCCTGGTTACAGCACAAAATAAAAAGAGTTGACGTAGAGAAGTAGAGATGTCTTCCTCGCGGGACGAGGGTCCCCCCAATGACCCCTGCGACCGGACCGCCTCCAGCGCCTGCCGACCGACTCTCACTGCACTTCACGTCTGGGCCGCTGTCTTCCTGGCGCTGTCGTGCAAAGTTTTGCTCAACTCGTAATGATGCTGTTCACCCCTTTTGAGTGGCATTGAATAGCAATAAACAGGAGAGCAACAAGACTAGTTGAATCTCTTTCCTTTTGTCAAACACAAAACAGAAATTGTAGACCAAATAACACACTGGTAGTAGTAGCAGAGTAAGAGGAAATAGAATCATTAGAAATACATGATTCCCTGATGTTTTGTGAGACATTTTTTAGTGTTTTGTATGCCAAAAAGATAAATTCTGTAATTTTGTTCTTTCATATCTTCTTCTTGACTTTGAAAGTCTTTGTTTTGGGCTCTAAATACATCTTTAGCCTAGTTGTCCTGATACAAATGATATGTGAAGAGTTTGTACATGATAACTTGGTGGTCGTAGTCTTGACAAGTCTTCCTCATCCAAACTCATGCAGCATATGTAACGTTAAGGTGTCTGTGGTGCTGTGCCTGTATAAAAGCTGGCTCACATGATATTTAGATGATATTTTGTAGTCAGAAATGTTTGGCTGTGCTTGGATGGCGATCAGCACCAAGGACATGCATTGTACCATCTAGCTATGGTGAGCAGGGACAAGACCATGGGCCGACACCGTTTTTTGTACCACCGAGACGGACCAGTGCTACTGTAACGATCCAATCCCAGGGTTTATGGAATGAGCAGAAGAGACGAGTGGAGTACTGTGGATCTGTATGTATTCTTCAGAACATGTGGGTAACTCTAACTCAACTGGATATAACTGGTTCCTAGTGGACTTGCCTACTCGCCACCGGGGGTGGCAGGTTATACCATTCCCATAGGGGGGACTCTATGGTTCAGCATATTAGATCCTTACACTCTTCCCCCCTACAACAAGTAAAACTTCTCCTGAAGTTTACAGATATAACAATGTATATATAATTGTATATAACAATGTATAAGTATAATAGTAATCCAACATAACAAAATGCAACGGGGAACAGTCCGTATCCGTCACAGTACGAATAAAACTACTGAATAAAACTTAACTTGTATTAAAGCTGTCATCACAATAACAAGTAACTTACATGTATCTGAAGTTTGACTTACACTAAAGTTTACGAATATCATGTAAACATATCAGAGCATAAACATAATTAAAAAAAAATAGTTCTATATAGTGTAACGTTACATTTGACAGATCTAGATAAAAGGTATAACGGTATTTGACAGGGAAGATACACAGATTAAAAAGAAAATCTGTATAAGTTCTAGACGGTTTGTCTTCAACCTCTGTCAAAGTTAACTTCCTGGCGAAGCAGGTTTTCCGTGTCCCAATCTAAATACTAGTAGATCGTCAATGCAACAGTCTGATGGGAGAGTTCACAGCTGTAGTAGGTTATCTAGAGTTCTGTGACATAGTCCGCAAGTCGCGACGGTCTAGTTACTCGTCGACCACGCCGTGTAGCACGTTGCGTAGTGTCTGTTGTGGCCGTTGCTGGTTGAGAAGTTTGCTCATCCGGACAGTCGCGATCTGGCTGTGCCGTCGGCGTCCTGGCAACAGGTTCTGCCTGGCGTGTATAGCAGGGTTTCAACCTGTTATAATGCACAGTTTGTTTGCGGTTAGTCTGGGTGTTCTTGATCGTGTACGTGACACCTGGTTCTCCATCGGAGAGTATTCGTTCCACGACGACAAATGGGCCTTTCCATCGGGGTCTGAGTTTCCGCCGTTGTGTCGTAGGATCATTCAGCCACACTTTGTCGCCTGCCTTGTATGGTTTGTGGGACGAAGTGAAGTCGTATGCAGCTTTCTGGCGACTGCTCGCTCGCTGTGTGTTTTGTCTCACGCGGGCGAAGGCGGCGCGGAGGCTGCTTTTCAGGCTTCTGGCGTACGACGTGATCGAATTCGTGGGGGTATGTGGTCTCGCGTCGAAGATCACGTCGGCGGGCAGATTTGCTTCCCTCCCATGTACGAGGTAGAAGGGAGTGTAGCCAGTAGATGCGTGTACGGACGTATTGTACGCCAATAGGATGTGCGGCAGGTGGTCGTCCCAGTCGTCGCCGGTAGACGAGACATATTTGGAAAGCATTGACTTTAACGTTCTATTAAAACGTTCCACGAGTCCGTCCCCTTGGGGGTGATACGGTGTTGTACGGCTTTTAGCAATACCGAGCGTCGTGTACAGCTCTCTCATAGTCTCCGCCTCGAATTGTCGACCCTGGTCTGAGTGTAGCGAGGAAGGAATACCGTGTTCTCTGACATAGTGGGTAAAGATGGCCTGTGCTACTGTGGACGCGTCTTGGCGTGGAATAGCATAGGCGTTAACGTACTTCGTAAAGAAGTCTTGTAGTACGAGGCAGTATCGATTGCCCTTCTTAGACTTGGGCAGTTCGGTCAGGTCCATGGCAACCTTCTCGAATGGCTGATTGGTACGGATCGGCTTCAGGGGTGCACGGGCCGAAGGTGTTGGCGCTGTTCGCGTGGCACACTCAGGGCAAGCCCGACACCATCTCTTGATTTCCTGGGTCATGCCCGGCCAATAGAAGCGGACATATACGCGTCGTAACGTCTTCGCGATACCCAAGTGTCCAGCAAACGGGCCGTTATGGAGCTCTCGCATGATGGAGGGCACTAGACTCTTCGGGGCTACCCGCTGGAAGATCATTTGGCAGTTCGCGTTGGGTTTCCACCGTCGGTAGAGGACGCCGCGTTTGACTACGAGCGAATGGTACTGGTCCCACAGGGCTTTCAGAAATCGGCCTCGCTGGCTGATGCTACTCAATGGAGGTTTGCCCTGGCGGCGTTGTTTCCATCGGAGAACTTCTGCAATGTCCCGATCTGCTTCCTGCGCCAACCGCACGTTATCGGGTGACACGGCGTCATCTGCCGAATCTGTTGGTGGGGGTGGCGGTGATGCATCGGGTGGGTTGCTCTGTTGCACGGAGTGTTGTTCGACCGGAGGTGGTTGGTCGACAGGGACCGCAGTATCCGAAGGTTCTCCCCGTGGGGTTGGTGGCCGTGCGGACGAGTGTTTGGCGGACGATATTGGTGGTTGGTCGACGCTGGCTACTGAAGGTGGTAGTCGTGAAAGGGCGTCAGCATTAGTGTGAGCTTTTCCAGCTCGGTAGGTCATGTCAAACTCGTACGTGGAGAGTTCCAGAGCCCATCTACTGCGACGCCCGGTTGGGTCGTTCGTGGTGAGCTTATCGGACCACCCTAGCAGAGGTTTGTGGTCTGTCAGGATCATGAAGCGTCGTCCCGCAAGGTAGGTGCGAAAGTGGCGGACACTCCATACGACAGCCCACATTTCCCGGTCGAACGTCGCCCATCGTCTCTCTTGAGAACTGAGTGTACGACTGGCGTAAGCCACCACTTGTTCGCCTTGGTCGGTGGTTTGAGACAGCACTGCTCCAATAGCGGCATCTGACGCATCCGTGTGTAGTGTAAACGGTCGGCTAAAGTCTGGGTAAGCCAGAACCGGAGGGGACGTCAACGCGTCGCGTAAAGTGTCAAATGCTGTCTGACATTCTATGGACCACGAGAAGGGGTTGCCCTTTCTAGTCAGGAGGTTGAGGGGTTCGGCAATCTTGGCGAAGTGGCGTATGAACTTCCTGTAGTAGGATGCCAACCCGAGGAAGGATCGTACATGGGCGGTGGAGGTGGGTGTAGGCCAGTTGCGGACTTTGTCCGTGTTGGTTGGGTCGGGTTGTACGCCATGTCGAGAGACCACGTGGCCCAGAAAGTTGACTTCTGGCTGCGCAAACTTGCATTTGTCGGCGTTGAGTTTCAGGTTGGCTGAACGGAACCGAGACAGGACTTCCTCCAGGACAGCGAGGTGGTCCTCGAAGGTGCGGGAAAACAGGATGATGTCGTCTAAGTAGGCTAGACACGACCTCCAGTCTAGTCCCGCTAGAAGAAGCTCCATCAGCCGCTGAAAAGTCGAGGGCGCGTTGGTGAGGCCGAAGGGCATGACGGTAAATTGGAAGAGTCCACGGCCGGTAGTGAAGGCCGTTTTCTCGCGATCGTCTGGGTGGATGGGGACTTGCCAGTACCCAGCCGTCATATCAAGGGTGGTGAAGAACGCTGATCCTGACAATGCATCGATCGTGTCATCTGTCCGGGGGAGTGGATGAGCATCCTTGACCGTGGCGTGATTAAGTTTGCGGTAATCGACGCAGAAGCGATGGGTGCCATTCTTCTTGCGGACCAAAACAACTGGAGAGGCCCATGGGCTCTGGCTAGGTTCCACGACACCCGCGTCAAGCATCTCGTTGACTTGGCGTTGGACCTCGGCCTGGCGGTGTACAGGCATCCTGTGTGGCCGTTGTTTGATAGGTTGGCTATCGTGAGTGATGATGCGGTGCTGGGCCAGCGACGTGCGACCCCCTGTCTCCCGAGTGACAGCTAAAGACATCATTGTAGCGTTCGAGAAGGTCAGTGAGTTGGC